GGAAATTATCAAATAATATCACATATAAGCAAGATACTGCTGAAGATCATTCAAAAACATTTATAACAGTACATTGATAAGGAACTGCCAAGAGTTCATGCAGGATTTAGAAGCGGTCCAGGGATCTCATTGCTGATATCAGATGGATCCTGCCTGAAAGTAAAGAATACCAGAAGAATATCTGTTTGTGCTTTATGAACTATGCAAAGTCTATGTGGATCGTAACAAGTTGTGGCTCACATTGGGAAGAGTGAGAAACCCGGAGCACTTAATTGTGGTCATGTGAAACCTATACCTAGCCCAAGAGGTGAACAGAGCAAGGGAACATTGTTGTTGTTATTGTTATGTGACCTGTGACTCATAGCGACCCTATGCACAACAGCCCTAAACCCTGCTCTATCCTGTGCTGATCTTATTGTCTCTGACACACCCATCCCGATTACCCGTCACTGAATCCATCCACCTCACTGAGGGTCTTCCTCTCTTGTGCATATGGTTTTAAATTAAGAAAGGAGCATGTCGGGGTTGTATATACTGTCTCCATATCTATTCATTCTGTATGCTGAGCAAATTATTTGAGAAACTGAACTCAATGAAGAGCAAAATGGTATCAGGATCAGAGGAAGACTCATCAACAACCTGCATAATGCAGATGGCACAACCTTGCTTGCTTGCTGAAAGTGAGGTGGACTTGGGTACATGATGCAGAAGATCAAAGAATACAGCCTTCAATGTGGATTGGTTCTCGAGTCAAATAAACGGAAAATTCTCACCTCTAGACTTTTATATCTCAATAAACATCATGATAGATGAAGAAAAGATTGAAATTGCAAACAATTTCATCTTACTTGGATCCACAATACCACCCTTGTTACCAGCAGTCACAAAGTCAGGAGACATATTGCATTGGGAAAGTCTGCAGTTGGGGACCTCTCTAAATTATTGAGGAGCAGTGATGTCAACTTGAGGACTAAAGTGATTCAGGACATGGCCATGGTCTTTTCAATCACTTGCTATGCATCTCGAGCTGGACAGGCCTAAGGATGACAGAAGAAGCATTGACGCCTTTGAGCCTGTGGTGTTGGAGAAGAATTCATACTCAACTCAGCTGCACGTAACAATTACAAGAGTCTATCACACCAGCACATACTGGGGCGAGGAAGGGCACAATTCAATCCATGACATCTATGAAGCACAGTTCTACTCTGATACACATGTTGTTGTTAGGGGCTGTCAAGTTGAATATGACCCATAGTGACCCTATGAACACAGATCTGAACCTTGTGCTAGCTTGTGCCATCCTCACAATCTCTGACACACTCAAGCCTATTGCTACAGTCACTGTGTCAGCCCACCTGGTTGAGGTGCCCGGGGGGCCTCTGGGAGATGTAGTCCGCGCTCCGCTTAAAGGGGCGGCCGCATCCGCCCGGCAGGGGGGGGGGGGGCGGGGGGAGACTCCGCGCGCTGACTCCCATCCGGGGGGAAGGCTGGTTCCAGGTCTGGACGCCAGAGCACGGTGTGGCCTGCTGGCCTCGCCAGGGCTGGACCTCGTTGAGGGTCGTCTTCTCCTTCGCCATCCCTCCACCCTCTCAAGCACAATGTCCCTTCTCCAGAAAATAATCTCTCCTAGCAACATGCTCAAAGTATGTCAGATAAATCTTTATCCTCTTTGCCTTCAAGGAATATGCTGGCTGCATCCTCTCCCAGACATATCTGTTAATTCTTTTAGCAGTACATGGGATCTTCAGCACTCTCCAACACCAGAGTTCAAAGGTATCAATTCTTCTATCACCCTTATTCACTATTCTGCTCTCAGGTGCATAGCAAGTGATGGAAAAGGCATGGCCTGTATCAGGTACTCCTTAGTCCTCAAAATGACACCATTGTTCCTCAATAATTTGGAGAGGTCTCTGATTACAGACTTTCCCAGTGCAGTACATCTCATGATCTCCTAACTGCTGCTGGTACCAAGTGTATTGATTATGGATCCAAGCAGGAGAGTTGTTGACAACTTCAATCTTTTCTCCATCTATCATGATGTTGCCCATAGATCCTTTGGTGAGAATTTTTGTTCTCTTGACTTTGAAATGCAATCCATTGAAGGCTGTAGTGTTTGATCTTCTGCATCAAGCACTTCAAGTCCTCCTCACTTTTAGCAAGCAAGGTTATGTCATCCACATAACAAAGGTTATTGGCCACATTCTTCTTCATGGAGTCCAGTCTCTGGAATAATTTGATACACACAGGATTGTTATTAATCAGAACTGATTGGGAAGCAAGTAGTTTGGTTTTGGTATTAGTCACTCGGATCACAAGGCAGTAGTGATCAGCACCACCATGAACGAACAACAACAACAAAAAAGCCACCAGGATCAACTACAGCTGACTGACCCTGCTGACTGGGTTTACGGAGGCTGTAAATCTCACGTCAAGAGACTGTCCATCTCTCTCTGGTAGAGCTGCTGGTTTGCAAGGGGCCTGAAATCCCGACGGTGCCCCAGACACTCAGCCTTGTGAGTCAGTGCTTGCCTTCTGTTTGTCCTTCTGGAGATTTTGGTAATTATTGGCAAGGTAGTTGGATATAGGAGTGTGGAGTAAGAGGAAAAGCCAGGACTTCAGAGATACACTTAAAAGGCCAGTCAGTCAGTTATTGTGGAGTCGGAACTGCTCATAGCTGACACTCTTTGGGGATTCTGAAGGTGTAAATCACTGGCAAGGAGGAGACTGCCATGTTTCTCCAGAGGAGCTGATAGTGCATTTAAACTGCTGGGGACATGCAGCCTTCGCAGCCTTCGGGTTGCAGCACAACTCCCTGTGGGCTAAGCCACCAGCTCTCCCTCCGTGGGTGTGTTAAACCATGGGATCTGCAGAGGCGAGTGTTTAGAAACAGTGTGTATTAAGAGCTCACTGGTTTTTGAGGATCACATGAAATACCTAAAACACCTGGCATTGTTGTTAGTTGCTGATTAATCGATGCTGATGCTTGGTGACATCATGTGTACAAAGTACAACAGCTTTATAGGGTTGTAACACAGTTTTGTTATGTGTTACACTAAGTAGAAGGCCAGCGGTTGGGATCCACCAACGAACTGCTGAGTGGGAGAAAGATTGACAGCCTCAGAAGCCTGATGGGGCGGTCACCACGAACTGAATAGGCAGGAAGCAGACCCACATGTCTGCCTGCCGCAGCACCTCTGGGTGGGTTTACAACATTTCCTCTAGCACAATCCTTTGTGCCACTAAGGGATTTATTTATCTGGTGAGCAGGAATTTAACAAAGGGTTGCATTTTGTGAATATACTTCTCTGGAAAAAACCTTTCCCAAAACAAGGTCGAGGCAGGTGCAACAGTCACAAGCCCGAAAAGGTGTCCAGGAAGAAGCAATGACGATGTTGTGTTTACAATATCCTTATTCCAAGTCCTGTTGTTTAAAAACAATGAAAGAATTTTTCTTTTACTTTTCCAAGAGGGTAGTGTACTAGGGGGGAGGGTTGGGAGGGGAGAAAAGTGCTACAGTGAATGAATGGAAATCCAAAGCCTCTGTAAATTTTCATTGAAATTAATAATAAATTAAAAAAATAAAAAGAAAACCACAAAATGTATAGCAATTATTTTTTAAATATCATGAAAATACTTTTTTTAATGTGCAGGGTAGGGGATTAATCATGGGTTTGTACAATTTGATGAGTGGGGAGGTGAGGGAAATTGTAAGGATCTGTTCTGGAAAACAATGTACTCAAAATTTGTAAATAAACTAGTTGTTGTTGTTGTTATGTGCCGTCAAGTCGTTTCTGACTCATAGAGACCCTATGCACAACAGCCCTAAACCCTGCTCTATCCTGCGCCAACAGCACCACCTCTGACACACCCATCCTGATTACCCCAGTCACCGAATCAATCCATCTCATAGAGGGTCTTCCCCTCCTGCCTTGTCCCTCAACCCTCCCAAGCATGATGTCCCTCTCTAAGGACCCGTCCCTCCTGGCAACATGTCCAAAGTATGTCAGACGAAGCCCCAGAATCCTTGCCTCCAAGGAGTAGCTTGGTTTAATCCTCTCCAAGATAAATCTGTTTGTTTTCCTGGCAGTCCTTGGTACATTCAGTACTCTTCTCCAGCACCACAGCTTAAAGGCATCCACTCTCCTTCTGTCCTCCCTAGTCATTGTCCAACTCTCTGATGCATAACAAGCGATTGCAAAGACCATGGCCTGTATCAGGCGCACCTTAGTCTCCAGAGAGACACTGTTGCTCCTGAGTATAATAAAAAAAATATTTAAGAGAAAAAAACAACAGGGATGGATAGGGGAAGTTAAAGGAGCACTGGTGTCCTAGTGGCAAGAAGCTGCGCTGCAAACTCAAAGACACAAGGTTCGAAACCACCCCGGTCCGCTGGAGAGTCCGATGAACTGCCTCTGAAAACTCGCCAGAGGGTCAGCTATGGGTCGATTTTGACTTGACATGCAAGGGGAAGCTAAGTGAACTGATGGATCGATCAGCACACCTCCACACAGTCTCTGTGTTTCCAGCACTGGTTAGGTGGTCCGGCTTGCCTCCTCCAGTCTTGCCCCGCGAGTCCCCGATGCAAATTGAGCGGCCTTTCCTGAGTCCTAGTTCCTGGAAGGCTTGGCCTCACTGTCTCGGCGTACAGAGGCAAGGCGCCGGAGGTTGGAGTGAGAAGGATGGGTGGCGATACACAGCTGCGTCTGCGCTCAGCAGAGGCGCGCTTGGACACTTTATGCGCACGGGGTGCACCGAGTAACGGGACCCCGGCATCCTTAGACCCAGGAGACTGGCGGAACCCCGAGTGGAAAGTGTTGGACGAGCCAAGGCCGCATCCCTGGGCGGGCCTGGGAAGGGGCTGAGAAAGTTGAGCTTTCGTTGCAGAGGGCTGGGCTCCACGAACCGTAAAAGGCTGGAGCGCGGGGTAGGTGTGGCTCTGCGTGCGTGACCCGAGCCCTCGTCTCGCCGCCGCCTTCTCCGCCAGCAGCAGCCTCACAGCCATGGGCGCCGTCTGGTCCGCCCTCCTGGTCGGAGGCGGCCTGGCCGGGGCGCTTTTCGTTTGGCTGCTGCGGGGCGGCTCTCGCGGTGGTGATCTGGGTGGCGGCGGGGGACAGAGCCCTGGACTTTCTGCGCGCGGGCTGCCCACCAAACCAGGTATTCCTCTTCCCCTTTTTTCCAGAACCGCTCTGCTCTGGAGTTCTGAAGTTTATCCAGGAAGGGGAGGTGGGGGTGGAGAAGTCCACCCGAGCCTTCCTGGTGACCCTAACGCTGCAGACGAGCTTCTGGGTCCGCAGACCCCTAGGTCCCCGGAGACCTTCCCAGGCTGGTGCGCACGCGCCAGGCAGGCCTTTGCCCTCTCGGGAGGCGCTCGCTAAGTACACATCGTGGGGCCTCTGCTCCTTCTGCGGACCCGGGCTCCTCCGCAGGAATGACGGATCCCCTCGGACTGCACAGCGCATTTCCTCCATCTCCGTCCATAACTAATCCGATGGGAATAGCTGGGCTTGGGAAGAACAGATCTGGGAGTTATCTAGATCCTTCGGCCAGGACGGCAAAGTTCAGGTTAGATACTGGCCAGGAAAAAGGGGAGGAATCCCTGGGTTCTGCGCTGGCACCTTTTCCAAAACCACCCGCTCTCCCCAAAAGCTCCCTCCCATCCGCATCCTACCGAACTTCGGGGAGCAGTCTGATCCCTTGGGAAGGGAAGCACCCGCCTGTGTTGGTCCTTAATGGAAGCCCAACGACTGTGAGTGGGGGGGGGGGGGGGGGAGACGTCTATGATTCATTCCCTTCATTTTCCTCTGTACGTTAGCACTGGCAAAACTCCCTACCTTCCGGTGGTACCCTCCTTTGGCAAGTGACCCAGGCTGGATTCCAGCCTACTGGTGGAAATGACATCTGTGAACTTTATTTTCAGCGGAGTGGGGCTCACGTGTGTCGTCCCTGAGCTCAGTCTGGGCTGAGCACGGTACTTATTTATCTTAAGGTCTGCCTCATGTTTAGATTGAAAATTCAGAGGACTTCGGTTGGTGATTCAGAGTGATAAGTGCTCGTCTTTCTCTTCCAACCTTACCGTTACAATCAGACTGACCTCATATCCCCAAATAAATCCCTCCAACAACAGATACCTCCCTCTGGTGCTGACTGGAAGGTGCTAGAGACTTTTGAACCTCCAGGAAGCGATTTGAATTATCCAAGAGGTCACAAAGAAGGAAACTGAGTCTTTTGCGACCCTACATTGTATACTTTTGAGACTATTAAAAGGGGGGAAAGGTGTACATAGTTGAAAGGGATGCAGAAAGAGGTTACTGATGCAAACAGGCTCGCCAGTGAGGAGCCAGCCCCCTCCTCTCCCACCTCCCTTTACTATCTACTCTATCCCCCCATAAAGACAACTGCTCTTAGTCTGCAGGCGTGAGATGTCCTACGCCAGTGTCCTGAAACTCCAAATGTACTCTTCTAGGTTGCAGTGTGGCCATGCAGCCCTTTGACCCACAGACTGCACACCACTTGTGCTTCTGATCAGAGACAGGCAGATGGGCCGGCTCTGGTTGCCTGCCAGGGAGCCTGCCAGGGAGCCTGGGACTGCTTCACCTCTGCCCTTTACCACACCATTCACACTTTCGTGCATTGCTTTTAACACTCCTGGGTGTGTCTTTTATTGCTGGGCAGACATACTTATATTTTTACAATGTTGAGAACCTACAAGATCATAAAGTACTTGGTTTTAATAAAGATTTTATCAACTAGATAGGTCTTCAGTAAATAAGCCTATTTTCAGGGCTTTTTCCTCCCTCAGGCAATCTGATTAAACACTACTATGGCTTTTCTTGTGTTTCTTAGAACATCCTCAAGAGAGCAATGGATGTCTGATTTCAGAGACCAGGGACCCAGGCAGCACTCAGGAAACCACGCGAAAGTCTCAGAGCCCTGGGGAGCAAGCTCCTTCTGCACAGCTGCCAGGCACAGAAGCTGCTTCTGAAACCAGTCATTCTCAAGGCTACGCTGGAGTTTCCAAGAATGAAAGTCCTATGGGAGTGTGGCGATTCCAGAAAGGACAAGAGACACCTGCTAAAGCAGCTGCATTTGCCACAAAGTTGCCTTCTAGTAACCTGCTACAGGACAGGACTAAAGACGTCAGCCTTCCACAGGTGGATGGTTCTGACCTGACTGACCAAGAGGACTGGGAAATGGTGTCCAGGCACTCGTCCTGGGGCGATGTTGGTTTGGGTGGTAATCTTGAGGCTCTAAGGTTAAGCTCCAACCAGGGCATGGACTGTGGCAGAAATGTTCTTGTGGAGGCAAGAGGTCAGGCATTTGATGTGCAGACAAAAAAGGCAGCAATGATGTGTCCAGAATCTCAGCAGGTTAGCGTCAGGTTCCAGGTCCACTACATCACACGTACTCAAGAGCAGTTCATTGCAGTAACTGGAGACCATGAACGCCTGGGGAAATGGGACACTTACATCCCACTCCAGTGTGGCCAGGATGGACTCTGGTCTCACTCCGTCTCCCTGCCCGTCAATACAGCAGTGCAGTGGAAGTTTGTAGTGGTAGAAAATGGGGAGGTTGCCCGCTGGGAAGAATGTGGCAACAGATTCCTAGAGACGGGCCAGGAGGATAGAGTGCTTCAGGAGTCGTGGGGGATTCACTGATCGGGGTTGTAAGGGATGGGAGAATGCAGAAGGGGAAGCAGGCTACAGTTGTGGAACACTATGGAATAAAATAAAGCGTGACTCCTATGTTGTTGTTAAAGCTGTTTCACATTTTGTTTAATGTGCAAAAATATATGTAGATGGTGGACTTTGCCCCATGGCATTGAGTGATAGATTTGTGCTGTCACCATACTCTAGGCTTGGTCCTCAGCTGTGGCTGGGGTGAGCTTCAGGGTGCAGAGCGGGTTTTGGAGCACAGACACTAACCCAGTGCACAGAGCTCGAGTTTGAACTGCTGAATGAATCATAAATCAGGGGAGTATAATGTCTCCTCCAACCAAAGATATCGGAATATCCTGATGTACAGCTGGAGAATCACTCTTCACTACTTGTACATTTTATATGTGAGGTAATACTTTAAGTCTCCCCTTTTTTTTCTGTTAGATTTTATCTGGTAGATATGGTTTTGAAAGCATCAAGAACTATACTTTTATACAAGTAATGTATGTGCTAAGTTTTTTCAAACTGTACCCATCCCACGCATGAGTTTTCTATGTGTGCTGTGCGCATTACGTGCATGGGTTTGATATTTTCCCATTAGAGTATTCTATACACAGGAGAACTGTGGTATGGTTGGTTTTGTCTTAATGCTGTAAGGCTGATACAGAAATGAGTTAGTCATCTGGAATACTCTGTGAGAAAAAGGACAGGAACGGGACTGGGGTGGCCTAACCAAGGTATCTGGGACATACTTCTTAAAGGGCTGGGAGGTACCATTACAGCCTGGATGCCAGAATGCCTACCATTTATATGTGAGGCCTTCATAGGACAACCTATCCTCCCTGCCTGCCCCATGACACCAGGAAAGAGCTGATGATCAGATACGTGTCCTGTGGCAGCAGATTCCATCTTTTACCCTCTTTCCTCTCCTATCATGCCAATAGCCATCTTGGATTGACAACATTGATACAGGACAATGATACAGAACTATCTTTGTTTGAGAAGAAATAAAACAGTCAAACTAATAAGTTATTAGAACTGAACAAATAATAAAACCTGAGTAATAATATCTTCATGAAATGTTTGGATTATTTGCCTAAATGTTACTATCGTAACAGCTCAGAAGGAAAACAAAATACCACTATTTTCCTCCTTTACTAACAGAAAAGCAAACATCGAGAGGTACAGTAGAAGACAGATGAAGAGTCTGTCCTGCCTTTGGAGAAAGGCTCAGAGCACACTTTTCACAAACTTTATCTTTGTGCCTGTACTTGAAAAGGGAATTCTCATGTGTTAAAACAACTTTTAATAAGTGTATCTCCTACCAACAATATATGGTCTAATCCTGGCAAAAGAGCATAAACTCAGTTGAAAGTGTGTCAGCTGCCATGAAGTTGACTACAACTCAGAGTGACCTCACATTTGCAGAGTGCCCCAGACTCTCATGGTGGGAAGCATGATCAGCCGGCCTGCCTTCAGGGATGCATCAGGGCAGTGCCAACCTTTCAGCTAGGCAGCGAGCACTACCATTCTCTTTAAAAACTGCCGTGGAGTCAGTCTCAACTCACACGGACCCAGTACTGGATCTTAACAAGAGGAGATGGGCCTCCTTTCTTTCTTGGAGCTGCTGGATTTGAACCAGCAGAGATGCGGGACCTTTTGGTTCGTACTGCAACATGCTATGGTCTATGCCACCAGACCTCTTGAAATTAGGATCAGAAGTGCATACATAAGGATTTAATGTGAAAATTACAATGGCATTTTAACTTTAAATTCTTTTTTTTTTGAGAAATCAGCTGGCTGCCTTCTTTATTTATTTATTTACGTATTTATGTATTTCCCTTTAGATCAAGCTAAAGCTGAGGAAAATTAAACCAAATCCAAGGCAACCAAAATATGACCTTGAGTCTATTCCACCTGAATTTCAGAACCATCTCAGGAACAGATTTGAGGCTTTGAACATTAATGAACGAAGGCCAGATGAGTTGTGGGAGGATATCAAGGGTATCATCCAGGAAGAGTGCAAACGGTCATTGCAAGACAGAAGAGGAACAAAAGACCAAAATAGATGTCAGAAGAGACTCTGAAAATTGCACTGGAGCGCAAAGAAGTCAAAGCACAGGGAAGAATTCAAGATACTAAAGAGTTGA